CAATGGCAAACCACTTCTGGATCATCTGCCAAGAACGTATATGAACAGGTCCCAGTCCGAGAAAAGGATGGAAGGATCCTGTTCATATGGACCTGTCGTCAGACAGAACACTGAATAATAGTACGGGCTACTAACAGCGAAGTTAAAATACAAAAAAAGCTATAAATTAAAATTGTGGTTATCTATCAAGATATTAACACGTCACCCGAGTTTTCTAACGCATTACCTAGAATCGCAGAAACAAATGCACATCAGATTCACTGCGTCGTATAACAATACGCGTGGCAGGTAACAGCACAGCCTGCATTTACCGACGCTCAGTCTTCGGCATAATCGATCGTGCCACTTGGCAGAGTCAACGTGCGAAAAGGGAACAGTCTCACGAGAATGTCTCGTGAGACAGTTAAAAAAATACGAGGCAGTGCGTAGTATTTCAACTCGTTACACACAATTCATACCTAAAACGTGAGGAAAAGCATCAGATACCTCGGAATATCAGCTGCTACGATCAAGGATCAACGACGTACCTCACTGAAAACGTCATTAACGTAACCGAAACAGGTTACTGGTGTCGTTACATGACTCAGAAACTCCCTACGTCATCGCCTTGTTCAAGAACCGTGCGTCACTGGACAATAACCTGAGTTCGACAACTCCATTTAACAAGATCACTGCTTATTTATGTTTTAATTTATCCTTCCATCTATGCTTTGGTCAAGAAAGTGGTCCCTTTCCCTGATTATCCAACTTAAACTTTGTGTTCGTGTCAATAATGGCTGATTTTACGTCGACATCTGATAATTCCAAAAGTGATTATCATAAAATTATCAGGTCGAATTTACAAATCCTGAAGCTTTTCAATATATAACGTTCTCCGTTCACTTGTTACGGTCTTCGAACCAATGTTTTTTTTTCTCAGTACCTTATTTTCTTACACTCTGAATCTTTTAATACCCAATTAACAACTACTCCATCACGTAGACTCCTCCTTGAGAACGTAACGGTACATTCGGGGGTGGGGACCAAAGAACTGCCTTATTTAAAGCCCCAAAGTTAATTACCATGTTGACAACAGTTCGCCATTGCCCCATGATCCACGAATGTAAACCACACCCTCAAACCCTATTTACCTAACATATTTTTTAATATTATCCTCCTGCTTCGCACAGATCTTCCATATGGTCTCTTCAGGCTTGTAAAACCAAAATTTTTACGCAAATTTTTCTCTCTCCCATGTATGCTATATGTCCAGTCCATCGAATCCTCAATAATTTTATCATCGTAAAAAAATGCTGAGGAGTACGTAAAATTGATCAGCTTCATATTAAATTCAAGTCCTTTACAAAGAGAAAACGTAAAATTATATTAAAATTAAATTATTTGGTTATTCCGTCAAATCACAATGTATTTAAAATAAGATAATTAAAATAATTAAAATATCATTCTTTGTTCCATATCGAATAATCGATTTACAATTGGAACAGTTACAACATGTTTCGGTTTTATTAAACCATCATCAGGTGTAATATTATATTAAATTTAAAACTCAATTACAATTTTTTACAATTTTTTTTCGTAGTGTAGTTTTGGAGGTCGTGTCCAGATATTTTCATATAATGGATCAACTTTATTGTTTGTTATTGTTGTTGTTGTTTGAAGTGATGCTTTTGATGTTTTAATTTTAATTTAATAAATAACAATATGACGCAACTACACTATTTTTTGTAAAATTATATGTTTACGCAATTCGATCTTCGTTTGTCAGACGCGAGACGGAAACATCTACGTGACTATCGGGCTGTATTAATGATTAAGCTGTTATTCCTGAGTGTTGGCGGCGGTGACGACGGTGGGGGGTTGGGCGTGGAGGATAAATGACAACAAATACGAAGACACCACGCATCAGCGTCAGTACGAACAGGAAACCAATATTCCCGTTACGACGCTCGTGAACGACTGCGTTTTCAGACATCGCTCTGCCATCCCATCCTCTCTTATTGACACTGAAATCTGAGCATCACCCACGCGCAAATTATTCAGTCATCTGGCCCGTCTTCAATAGACCCCCTCTCTGCGTTAGACCACACAGACAAGCGGCAAGTACTTTTATCGTAAGCGGTATTCAAACCTCAGGCCCACAGGCTCAGACGTTTACCTTTCTACTTTTAATTAAATACATCCATAAACACACATATACAGGGTGTTTATAAATCACACACATAAATAATAGGGGAGCTTACCGATATATTTACATAATTAAAATATAATGTTACGATGTAAATGTAAAATTTACGTTTTCGGGGATAAACCGCGTAGAATGTTAAAAGGTATCCATCATTTCGGGTCATTTTCAATACGTTATAGCGGCCGTCACCAAACTACACGCTTCGAGGCCACAACAAAATCGCAAAAAGTTACCCGGGCGAGTGAAGACAGCTCAGAATTCGCAGTTGGCAACCTAGAGCCGGCGTGAACTCGTCACGTGGCCTTGAAGCGAGCAATTTGGTGACGGCTACCGTAGTTAAAATTCAAAATTATATCTGCGTTCCTTGGTGTTTTCCTGGGTTACAACACTTCACAACACGACACCACATGATATTAAAAGAACGTCATTTATCCGATATCGCGAGAGGGAACAAGACTGGAAAATATTTGTGCTCTAAGCACGTAGTGGCTACATTCGATGGAGACTCGGTACTACTGCGTCTTGAGGACAAAATACATCAATTTTCACACCCCTTTTTTGTGCATTGTAAATTAAAATGCAAGATCCATTACTTCACGAACAACCTGCGTGGATTCCGTGTAAAAAATGGCCATGGATTGACAGAATCCTGCCTGCACCCGGTTCAAGTCCTTTCACACATTATCGATAATCGACAGAGTACCTGGAACCCTAATTTGACGCATGAGTCCTGAGTTATATATCTAATACATCCTGACAGATTCAAGTATTACATACACAAACGCAGACGTAAAATGTGTCTAACATTTTCCTTACGTACTGAAATTCTAGCAACTCTCGCCGCATGGGAGGAAATATTCAAAACGTCAGCATTTTTCAATAATCTACAAACTGACGTGCAAAATAGGCCAGTGGGAGAATTAGAATTTCGTAAATAATATGGATCCTTATAAACGTTTGTTTATCGTACACATTGTACAGATATAATTATAATCTGACAAGCAAACAATTGTAAAATCACAATTTTTTTTACTATAAAAAACTTTTGAAATCAGAAATAAACAGATTTTCAGGTTTATTGCATATCTGCAGATGGGTAAAAGGAAATCTAAGACAGTGACCACATGGTCATAGGTTTACCACAGACACATTCGCAAGTTATAATTAGAAAAAAAAAAATGTAATATATTTTTTTATATAATTACAATTCGTAATACACAAACAGGTTCCATCATCCGTACTTTTATTAAATAATGATCATGTACACTTTCTTACCCCTTACGAAGGAAAACACGCGTAACATTTAATGGTAACAACGCTGTTCAACATCCGGATAATCTAAAGGTGAGTTATCACGATTTCTCACATTTCCGAATCAAATTAAATATCCACGTTTTATGACAGACAAGAACAACAACCTACAAACACAAACTACGGCCTTATGAAGATGGCTGTCTTCCGTGTAATCTGGTAGAAGTTTATCGACGTTTCAGAGGTCCTTGCTTGAGATGAGTTATCGCCCTGATGGAAGGCGCTTCAACCCAGAGGACAGATATCTTTATTTTCTCACGCCTTACTTAGTTACCAATCTTTGCCGCAAATGTCCAACAAATAAAATGTCTCATTTTTATAACAAAGCGGTGCTTATTTCAAAGCTTATCGACGTACCAGGAGAAGACATGTGATCACATTTCTTACGTATCTGAAACCAAGTGTCACACGCTCAAGGATTTACAGTCGCTTTTCGTCGTCATAATACCGCGGATATGGTCGTCGATTCTACGTCATAAACGGAACGTAATTGAAGCACGTTGTGGCTGGACGGTTAAATAACGAACTGGTTCAATACACCGGAGGCGATGAAGCTTAATTGAGAATGTCCCGATGTCTTCCCTCTACCTCAAAATACAGAATAACTCTCGAAAACTGATTTTGTAGATGTCTGTTGGATTACAGCGCAGTGTAGTCTAGTAGAAATTTACCGACGTTTCAGAGGCACCTGCAGCCTCAACCATAAGTGTGCTACAACCCAGAAGACAGCCATCTTCATATTCACCGCCGTGGCAACATCAAATCCTAAATCTGTTTTATGTTTTAATGGAAACACATCTCGTTCAAAAGATGACATTAGGAGACTCCATTTAATGCGTATATCTGCGGTGAATAATACTTCTGTCCCATGTGAAGCCATAACTAAGCATATCTGAAGTTTTGGTAAATAAATTCTGTCAGTATAATCACTCCTACCTTTATCAAATTCGATCAAAATAAATTAATATCGATTCAGATATGAGAAATATAGTATAAACTTTTAAAATTACACGCAATTCTCCAAATCAAAATATTTGTGTTCAGCATCAATCAGTACGTTTTCAGTCAAAAATGTGTTATTTCTGAGGTAATTCCAGAAGTAAGCAATTACTGTGACACCGCCAATAGAAAATCTGAGTGAAGATGAATTTAAAAAAAAAAATTAAACTTTAAAAACTCGTAATAACAAACTTTATGAATGTAGATTGCTTACTAAATTCCTAAACATTTCCATAACTCCGGCTTTAGGTGTTGAACCACGTCGAATGTAGAGAATTATCCAACGTTTCTGCATGCATTTCATTTGCCATCTTCAGGGTGAATGTTCAATGGTTGGGCGTTTATGGTAGCCTTATACACGGAAGCCAGTGAGCGGCGAGTTGGTTTTGATGGTTAACCATGGCAATGCCTGCTGAAACGTCGGATATTTGTGAACATTCGACTCGGATCACTTTCGAAGTTACACACTGGACTCACGACAAGAATTATGAAACATTCTACTCACATTGAACTACGTACGAACCGAGTTCAGCAGCAAGGTCAAAGGTCACAGGAAGTCGTCCCTGTAGAATATCTTGTTTCACTTGCAGAAAAAATTGATATCTGAAATAGAGGAAATTGACTTTTAGTACAAATATCTGATATGAATTTAGGGGCATCGCTATTGCATGTCACGAGGTGACAGAAATTTCAAGTTTCTGACCTCCCAAGACTCAACATTTATTTCTGACTTCAATAATCACAAATACTTATTCATAAACCCCGTTGAAATTTAAAGTATTAATCTTATTGTTGAGGTGGTGTTATTGATGTTTATATCAGTCTGTGAAGTAAAAGATTCGAAAACATTAATGAAATATGAATGCTCGATATGGAACATAAGATGATATTTTAATCATTTTAATTATCTTATCTTACTATTTTATTGTGATTTGACGGTAAACAAATATAATAATTATTTTAATCATTATTTTGTTTCCGATACCCGTAGTATTAAATCCACTAAAAGCTGCCTAATGGTAGCATCACTTGTTAAAAGTCAATCTGATCATCCATTGTCACTGAAAACTTCGTTTATCAGTCGTGAGGTATAATGCAAACGTTTTTTTTTTTGAGATCTACGTCCATTTTAGAATCTCTTTTGATAAGAAGCATAATCAAACACACGCAAACATCAAAATGGCCTCTATATAACACGGATATGTCCATGTGCTTACAGTGCCCCTACGTTCATATATAAATATCCGTGGACCCTTTCACTTTGTAATTTGTGATCAAATCATTTCTTCTGCATTTAGGATAATTTTTGTTTTTCGTACGTTCCTCAACGTATTAAGTATAAAATATTTAAAATAATCCCACAAATAAAGGGACTGGATAAAATACTCCCTGAAAACTGTGTCAACTTCAACAGGCGATATCAACCCTTTAAAACCTGCATCGATAATCAATAATTCTTCATTTTATGTTTATAAGTTTAATTCAATTTGCAGTGTAAACAGCGATTATTTCTTTAAACAGCGTTAACCAGTTGATCTTTCGTAATGGTGAAGCTTGGTGTTTTCTTCGCGGTACGGACCGGATTATTAAATATTTTTTAGACAAGCTTCGGCTTCAAAGAGTCAAGAAAGATTTCTCAGTTGCGTTTTGATTTCCGATTAACGTAATGACGTAGCGTTCACAACATAAGCATCATGGCTGCTGCAAGAGATTTCTGGGCTTTTTACAGAGTACAAATATGTCGGATGTACTTAAGGTCAGGCAATCTACTTCGACGCCGGAAGTGACGTTTCAAAAGAGAGAGAATAATGTCAGAACCGGTCCTGAATCGCAGGAGATGATGCAGAATGAATTCAATTAAAAGTTTTTATACTTCCGCGGGCTAGTCAATAATTTATCCTTTCTGTGAGACATCTAGAATCGTTACTCCTTTATATACTTGCGAAAAGGAGACGAGAAAACTGTATGAAATCCATTACTCTCTTCTTAAAGTGTCCACATTCGTAAAGCGAAGAATACTTCAAAGGAACACAACAGGATTATTTTCTTACCAATTCTCCCTCGACTACAACACACGTCGTGAAACGTTAGAAATGCAAATATGTACAGTTCATCTGTACCCACGCCCTCACATTACAAGTACAAAGTAGAGCATTACAATACTTACGATAAATGCAGTATTAAGTTACCCCTGGGTGTATATAAAACGCTGGACACTACCCATCATCCGATATATATTCAACATGCAATGCGTTAGAAAGTTGGCTGGCTGTGATATTCGTACGTCACTGGGTGACTTCGTTGCCAACATACTAAGAATGTGAAAATTTAGTTTATTTTAAAATTAGTGGCTTCGCCTGAGATTTAACCCGGATCCCTTTGAATTCCAGTATATATCGTACAGGGTGATAGAAAACCCACACGAGACATAACTTACGTATGTTCTATTTGTCAAAAAAATATATCACATCGATCACACTGTACTAACAGAATTTGCAGGGACAGTTCCAGCTCACGAAACGTCGTACATAAGAACTAAAAGCCTGAATATGGCTATCTTCTAGGATGTTGCGCTGGTTCAGGGGTTACTGCTGTTTCCATCGTCAGGGCATTACTATGGAGAGGGTAAGTACCTCTGAAAAGTAGGCAGACTTCAAACAGACTACACGGTACAACATCCTAGAAGCCAGCCATCTTCACATTCACCGCTGTGAGAACCTTAAATCATCAAACATAAATCCACAACTGACCAATATCTATGAAATTCAGTATAAACATAACGCCATGGAGGTCACAACATTAAGCTACTTTCCGATAGGCTAACTTTGCCAGCACGTGACACTGTTGGGAATGCAGAATCGTTATATGCAGCGAAATGACAGCGACCTGGAAAATATGAACGTTCTATTAGAAGAAACTATTTATGGAAAATGGAAAAAATGTCACGAGTAATATTTGGTCTGAAGATAACAAGTCAGAGACCAATAAAATGCGTGTTTCTGTCACAATAGCCAAGATCCTTGAGCGTTTTTTCCCAATCGTAAAAAAATTATAATTCCCAAATAAAGCATCTCGAAAATATCTGTACCATCCCAGAGTGAAGACTACGTGTTTCGTTCGCCTTTTGTTTTCGTTCAGACAGATTAGATGTGCACTCAACAGATGTCACTGAAGTCTCAGCGAAGCGAAACACCGAGTAATACGCAAAACGTACTTCGATATAATAACGAATGTACTTGAATACAGTAATTGCCAATTAAAATCAACGTGACCTTGACACGTACAAAAAACATCCTTCCTTCTACATTTATTGACATGACTTTCATTGATATCACTCAGTATTCCATTCCTTCTCATAATATGTCCCTGCCAGTTAGCTTTCCTTCGTGTAATCTTTGCTCGTTGACTCTCCTCAATACTTCTTCGTTGGTCACTCGATCCGTCCACCTGATCTTCTCTATTCTTCTCCAACACCACATTTCAAAACTCTCCAGGTATTTCTGTTCCTTCTTCCTGAGTGTCCAAGTCTCTGCTCCATACGTAACACTTCACTAGTTTCTTCTTCATCTCCAAGCCCAACTTGCTAGTGAGAAGTTTCCTCAGCTTGACGAAAGCTGCCTTGGCCATGGCTATCCTTGCTTTTACTTCCTTGGTGCATAGGGCGTCCGTCGTGACTATGCTTCCCAAGTACTACGTAAAAAAAAAACAAAAAAAACAACAACAACAACAACAACAACAACAACCACCAACAACAACAACAACCAACAACAACAACAACAACCAACAACAACCCACACACACACACACTCCGAAATAAAATTTCGTATTTTCGGATATGAAACTCGTTGATGGGCTAAGACAGTCACAAACGACTTAAAATAAGGATTTCATTACACGCACTTGGCTCAAGTAATTCCAAAAAAATCTGAACGGTCGCGTAGAAACATGAAACATATGTAACCAAAAAAAACAACAACAAAAAACAGTCAGATGCTAACGTCAACGTAAAATCCCATGAAACAGGATATGGAAGTAAGGCCGTGAGAAATGAATGTTGAAACAAAAGACGAACCAATGGAAAACGGGTAGCGCGCGGCGAGTTTCCTCTTAGAGGTCTGCAATTAGCAGACAGACAGACAGACAAACGTCCGCTGAGCCTGACAGGTAATGCCAATTAAAACGAAACCGTGGCATCTTTCAATTCCCTTCTCTTTCTTGGGATTACCGTTAAGCCTCGTGCTATCTCTCTCCCCGTTTACCTAATTTTACCCCGTAACAAGTTTCATTTTAAACCAAGTAAGAAAACCTTTACACATCGCTTTTCTTCTAAAGATTCCTAGCTACTCTACAGCCAATGTTCCACATTTACATTTCGGAGATTCCCGGTTCAAAATTATGTCCGGTTACAGGGTATTATTATTCAAAGTTCCCACGATTTTCCTCAGCTTGTCCAAACTAACGCCTCATCAGTAATTCAAACAGGCCCAGACTGTCATTTCCGAAGTCAAAACCTACTCAAATTTCATTCTATCAGCAAACTTTATAGCTGAAAGTGTCTTACAATAAACTAAGAACTGTAACGTATAGTCCATGGTTCGATCTGTAGTAGGTTAACCCCAGAGAAACTGTCTCATCGCCGGACGGTAGGTGTTAGCCGATATATATGTGGAAAATCCACATGTTTAAACTCAATAAAAATAAATTATGGGAAATTTTCGCATGTGCAAGCACCACTATACGTATCCTACTCGTTGCAAAAGCTGTCGCCGATATCAACAGACCACAGCTGGAAATTATTCTGTCATGTGCAAGGATTTTTTCATATACACGAGGATGCAGGAATCACGATATTATCGTCGTTATAATTAACATCAACGTCTATTCGCGAAATTCTATAACGTAAATAGTGCATACATTTACAAATATAAATGAATGCAATTAATTTTCAGCTCGATATTTCAATAGTGATATATTTCACTTCAAAAAGAACTGTTAATGTTTTTATTATTTAATTATCAGACCATAATTTAACTTAAAATAAAAACCCAAACTTAAAAATAAAATTCTGTAAGATACATTGTACGCCATTTATGATGTATGACACTTGTACACGTAAAGATATTTGACTAATTCCGGGCATTAATTTATACAGACGACAAGCATTCAGACTGCAGACATGAAACCGTTTTCACATTCATTCACTTTATATACGAATGTTTTAATGATGCATTTTTAAACGCGATTTGTATAGATAATGTTGAAATAAACTGAAGATTAATTCCTGCCAATGTTAATGGGGAGCTATTTATGTGACAAAATGACCAGATTAATATCAACATTATAATAACATATGAAATAGCCTGCAACGAAACATTTGCTAATTAAATATTAAATCCTTTCCCAACAAAATTAATTCCAAAATTCGACAATGACTATCAGCAAATTAATTAATGGTAATCAAAACCCATGAACAGGATTTAGGATCACGGTAATTAGCTTAGAGACTGCAATGTCTACTACAGTATTAACTAACTCTCTAATTTAGCGCGGGTAATATCAAAGCGCGCCCCTGGACTGAATCCTGAGTCAGTTCAATAAGTCTC